ACAGCCTGCTCTGGGGAGGATTCTGTGACCATGCTGGGGTTCATCACAGGATGGACAATCCCATTTACCTCTTCAACCCCACAAGCACAGCGTGCTGTCTGTGCTGCCTTCCTTTAGATGAGGTTGGTTCAGTGTCAGCTGCAGCTGAATTTTTACATCCATGTTCAGAAGAATTGCCTTTGCCCCTGCTTCCCTCCTCTGTCTCTGCAGGAGTTGACTCAGGGTGATGTGAGGGTGGGAGAAGGGAAGAAATTGGAAACAATTCTCAGCTCTGACAGAAATCAACCTGCTTTAAAAAATTTGAGGGAATGGTTTCTGGGCTTGAGTAGATCAGTCTGATAGTGCCTGCCTCGGTAGGTCTCGTGTGCAAGCAAAGGTGGATTATTTTTCATGCTAGGGCTGGGGTCTTTAAAGGGTGCTGAAGAAAGAAAGCTCTAAATACTTCAGAAACCTTTGAAAATCTTAATTGCAGACAATTGCTGCTCTTCTTTCTTCTTCCCTTGGCTGAATTCCTGTTTTTCTCTGAGACAGTTGACAGACCCTAATCTGTTAAAAAACCTTCTTTCCCCTTTTTTGGACATCTGAGATATCTCTTAATGTTTTACAGTTAATGATTTCTACAGTGCAGCTTCAGCTAATGCCTGTGAAGACACACAGCTAATTAATTAACCCTCTGATTGTCTTTCTCCCTATTAATAACCAATACTGCATAACTTTTACTCCATGAATATTGGTAATACTTACACCAGGACAAGATGTTCAGGGCTGAGGGGAATTTTCTCCTTTAGCTGAATTATTCTAGGAGTCAATGCTTGTATCCCTGCTCAATCAGTTACCTAAATAAAACCCATCCTTTCTTTTTTAAAGTTTTTTTTTTTTAATTGTAGGGAATTGTGGCAGAACAAGACACAAACCATTGGCTCCAGTGAGATGGGAGTCTCTTGTCTCCCGTGGTTTACGTTGTTTTGCAAAACCTCTGTGGTGGGGATGCATAGCTGGTGAAATAAATTACTTGGAGTACTCTCAAGTTGTGTTGCTGGAGCCCTGCAGGAATCTCCCTTAGTTTGGAACTCATCAGGATTTTCATTACTGCTTGGATGAGGGGCTGGGAAGGCACATATGGGAATTCTGTGGGATCCAGACTCAAACAGGATTGCAAGCCAGTTGACCAGGTTGCTCTGTTACAAATAAAGGGACCATTTAAAATCAGGAAAAAAAGGGGTTTGTGAGCCACTTTATTCCTCACAACATCAGAGTCTGAAGGTCAGATATTCCAATCCTACACAGCAAGGATGGGAGGTGGCACAAACAGACTTCTGTCATGCACATGAAAACCTGGTAGGACAATGAGAGCATCGGGGCTTTCAGCAGAGCCATGAGCCCCTGAAACCTCTGACCTCACTTCCAGCCCCTGCCCAGCCCAACTGGAGCTCTGCAGATGGGGTTTATTCCATCCTGTACATGTGGGAGGGCACAGCTGGGGAGAGCTCTGCATTTGGACTGTGGGATGCTCCCTGCAGGCACAAATACAGCAACAGGTGCTTTTATCGTGTAGTAGGATCCAGAATCTGCCTTTAAACGTTGCCTTGGAAATGGGAGGATGTTTCTCTCTTTCACAGCACAGATGGGGGGAAATGATGCCTTAAGTTTTGGCTTTCATATTTTCCACATTCTGCACTGCACTGGTTCATAACTCTGGAGTTCATACAGAGTGTCAGCAGGTTCTCCCCACAGCCCAGGCAGACACAACAATCCTTTCCCAGCCCCAGAACCAAGGACATCGCTGCAGCTCCAGGCCCAGAAAGTGCAAACAGCCCCAAACTGAGGAGAGCAACCTGGGAGGATGGGACTGCATCACCTGAAATTGGACAATTAACCCCAGTATGGAAATGGACCAAAACCTATAAAAGTATGAAAACTCATGACCTCTCTTCCACCTTTGGTGTAGCCCTGGCTGGGCTCTTGTACTGCCCAAGGTGTATTTTTTAAAGGCCTTTTAATAAATACCTGCCTTATTCTTTAACTCTGCCCAGCCCCTGTTCCAGGCAGCCTCTTTAGGTATCAATAATGCAAGATGATCCTGAGAAAAGGGATTGGGACTCCTGAAGTGCCTGGATCTCATCTCATGTCAGTGTCTCCTCCTTGTAACTACTGATAGTAACTGGCTTGACCCTCAACTATCCTAAACTGGGAACATTATATATCCTAACTGCTGGGAGCATTGTAGAAAAATATATTTTTTTTAAAAAAATTATATATATTCTTTCTAATTTTTAATTTTTTACATGCTTGAGGCAACCAAAAATGCTTGAAGATTCTCACAAGAACTGCAGAACAATATATTGAAAGAGCACATTTCTAACTTGTGCTGGGGGAGTTGTGGCTTAGACAGACAAAAGTATTCCTAAGAATTTACAATATGGCATAAGTGGTGAAAATCACCAAGCCCAGAAGAGAGGAAAGAGCTGAAATGAGCTCTTGGTTGTGCCTCAGTGTTACTGTGTCTCATCTGAGCCATGCAGTGACAGTCACCAGAGCAGCTGTTGTAATGTATTAATGACAAAAGAACCAGAATTGGTGGCATTTTCTTACTTTAGTCCCAGAACTGCAGGGCTCTTAGGTGGTTTAATGAGAAAGGGTTTATCAAGCAGGACCCTGGAGAATTTGGTGACTCTGGTGGAAGCAGGGAAGTGCTGTTTCTGCCTCTGCTCTTCCCTGTTTGCTTTGGACCTCAGCACTCAGCAAATGCTGATCTCATCCATCAGTTTTGGCAGCTGGCACATGCTGCTCTGTTTTTCCTCTGAGGACTTTGTGAGATGTGAGACACACTTCAATTAAAAGATGGCAGTTTAATGTGGCTCTTTTTAACAAAACAAACCAAATAAGATCTTTGTAATACACAGCAGTGCTTAATTTCTAAGACTAATTAAAATTTTGGCTTTCACTAGTGACAGAAAAGTTTGGACAGTTTTAACCCCGATGGCTCCATTTAGCCCTCATTTATTATTCTAACAAGAAAAACAAACTAGAAATTATTAATGCCAGAAATGCCAGGAAATGGGATATAAAATTGAATCTAGCCCACATGGATGTGGGATGTGTTCTACTACCACGAAAGCCAAGTGGCCAGCTGATGTCAGCCCCTGCAGCTGGGTGGATTTACGTCTCTGAAGTGCCAGCCTGGAGGTGCTGCTGCCATTCCGTGTCAGAGCATCCAGGGAGGCTGAATGAATCCATCCAAGATGCTGATGAGTATCTTGTATGTGGTCAGTTTTCCTCTCAGGCACCATTTTGTTACTCAGATTTTTGTTAATGTCTCTTAATAAGCTTTGAATTTTCTCTAAGTGCAGACACATGAGAATTCCTGACAGAAGAGCAGTGTCATGTAATGATCAGTTGCTTGTTTCCCAAAAGGCATTTAAAATGTCAGCTGTTATTTAATGAGAAAAGTCTCATGCCAAAATCACAATTTTCTTAAGGAAAACGGCTGCAGCTCTATGAATTCCATGCTCTGAGCTGATTCCAGGTACTAAAGCAGCCCAGGAAAACCATCAGCTGAGCACTGAGGTGGTTTTTTGTCTGGAAATGAGTTCATCTGGCACTGATCTGTCAGAGTCACATCAGAGAGATGCCTGTGGGCTCTAGCCAGGCTTGGGTTGAAGTCCTGCTATTTTGTGATCATCATCTTTAATTACCAAAGGGCAGAGAGAATCCATAGGTCAGGAGCACAGCTCCTTCCTCTGCTGCTGATGGCAGACAGGACAGACTCCAGGAAACCTGGGCTCTCCTGCCACTTTGAGGTGAGATGGAGTTATTTATTCTGCATTTCTAATGCTTGGCTATAGGATCGTTTCCAGAGTGTTGAAATTTAGGTTTGTTAAAGTGTGAAAGAGCAGAATTTCCTGCCACTGCCTGCTCTGCCATCCTCTCAGCCCGTCAGGAGGAGCAGTGAGTGACAGGAGAGTGTCAGGAATTGAGCCCTGCAGGTTCCACACCAGTCAGGGATGGTCCCACGAGTTTTTGCTGAAGTGTTGGTGGGAGGTTCCCTCTCCATTCAGCAGGATACCTCTGCCAAGGATTTCATGGACATCACTGCTGCAGAATGCACCCCCGTGGGTCTCCTGTGGTCCATGACACTGAGAGGTTCTGCCTCCAGGGCAAGGGATAATCCAGGGAGGAGCAGGGAGACATCCCAGCAGGATCCAGCCACGCTCTGGTGGGAATCTGCACGTGGATAGAGATGGAGCCAGGAAATGAGGGAGAAATAATTCCAGCAGGAGCCAGATCCATGAGAATTGTGAGACCCAGGGAATTAAAGGTGTGCTGCACAAAGAGGTGTTCTCTTCCTGCCGTGGTGCTGAGGGGTTGGGGTCTCTGCAGTGACTCAGGCTGCTGCTGAAGGAGGGTTTCCAGTGTGCAGCCAAAGGAATGGCAGTGAAGCCTTGGAGTGGCTGCCTGGAACAGGGGCAGGACAAGGTTAAGAGAATAAAGTGGGGATTTATTAAAGGCCTTTAACAGGTACACCCTGGGCAGTGCAAAAGCCTCACAGAGGCTACACCCAAGATGGTCACCAGTTTTTTGGGCAGATATAAGTTTGACCTATTTGCATATCAGAGGTTAATTGTCCAATTACAGCTTCAGGTAATGAAGTCACATTCCCCCAGTTTGCTCCCCCCACAATTCACTTTTGTTCATACTTGTTGGGGCCTGAGGCTGGGAGGTGTCCTTGGGTTCCAGGCCCAGAGGAATTCTTTTGTCTGACCAAAGTGTGAAGACAATAGTGAACACTTTATGTGAGGTGTAGAGTTATGCACTGTTGCAGCACAGCATTTGAAAAATATAAAGGCTAAAACTTTAAGGCATCATTTCCCCTCTTTAGAGGCTTGACAAGAAGCTCAGAGCTCAGGTGAGAGCAGCATCAATTCCTGCTGCTTTTCCTGACTGGAAGGATGCTGGGATCATTTCTGGAGTCTCCAGCAATCTCTGGTTTGCTTTTCCAGGACCTCTGTGAAGATCCCCACCTGCTTGTGGACGGAATGAGCTCCCATGACTTCCACCAGGGCAAGCTGGGGAACTGCTGGTTTGTGGCTGCCTGCTCCTGCCTGGCTCTGAGGAAAAGCCTCTGGCAGCAGGTGAGTGATTGGTGTGTGTGTGGTGCAGGAAATAAAGCTAATAAACTTTATTTAGGTTACTTGGCTGTTTCCCTGCCTATCAGCCTACCAGTGGTTTTCTCCCTGGGATTAACAAAGGGTGAATTTTGCTGGATTCAAATCTTCCCTTTCTTTAACGTGTTCCAGGGCAGTCTGCCCTGGGAACAAACCTCAGCACAGTGCACTCGCTGAACTTCCCCTTCCATGGTTTCCCAGGTGATTCCAGACTATAATGAGCAGGAATGGGACCCCAAAAACCCAAGGAAATACGCTGGGATTTTCCGATTCCGTTTCTGGCGCTTTGGAGAGTGGACAGAGGTGGTGGTTGATGATCTGCTGCCAACAGAGAATGGGGAGCTGATCTACTGCCATTCCAACGTGAGAAATGAATTCTGGAGTGCTTTGCTGGAGAAAGCTTATGCTAAGTATGAGCTGGTTTGTTGTCCTTGTAGTCCTCAGTGTCGTCCCTCTGTCTGTTTTGTCCTTCATTTCTGTCAGACTTTCCGTAGGTTTTAGTTTTGCTGCTGGTAAAGAGTGTAGAAAAGATTGAGAGCTCCTTCTTTGATCTCTGTTAAGGATGTAAGTCATAAAGGAATGCAATGCAGTCCACTTCAGCAGCCCAAATCCTTAAGGATCCTAGAAAGCAGAGAAGATTTATCTGCAGTCTGCTCAGGCTTTTTTGTTCTGTTGGTTTTCCCTTGATGAGACAAAAACATCTTCCCTTCCTTCAAGCCAAATTAGAGCACTTGTTGCAGCCCCCTGTAAAGTGGTTCTGTGTTGCCCCCAGGCTGGCTGGATCCTACCAAGCCCTGGATGGAGGCTGTGCTGCAGAAGCCCTGGTGGATTTCACTGGAGCAGTGGCAGAATCCATCAATTTGGCAGAGGGCAGATATGGTGAGGTTATTTATGAGCAGATGAAGCTGTTTGAAGACTTGATGAAAGTGCATAAAAGAGGAGGGTTCATCAGCTGCTCCATTTCGGTGAGTACAGAGAGCTGGATTTTAAGGGTTTATTTCAATGAAAATATTCTGGAAGAAATACCATTATCAGGATACTGAGCATGCCCTTCCTTTGCATGTTTGGAAAATCTTTGTGTGGAGAAATCCAGCAAGTGCTTCCAGCTCCAGGAGCCACTAAATACAGTCACAGCTGCTTGTGCTGCCACTTCACTGTGTGTCTGAAACTATTTTTTTTTTCTGAATGGCCACAGCTGTGAATCGACCTGAGGCAAATCCACCCTAATTTACAGAGCAGATAGCTGTGTTCAATGGCTGTATTTCTTAGAGAAATCTCTTTAGAGAAAACAGCTCTGGCACGGAGCTGCTGAGATGACTTTGGTTGTGCCAGTGCAGCCAGGGTAAGAGTGGAGCTGAGCTGAAAGGCTGAGCTCACCTGCTTATTCAGGAAATGCTGTTTGATATTGAATATATTGAATAGTCTCCCCACTGGAATGAAGGTGCAGAACCTGCCTGTGCTGGCTCATGTGAGGCTCAGGTAACTCAGTGCCCACAGATAGGAGGCTGTGAAGTCCCTGTGGTCAGGAGAGAGGGGATGGTTTCTGAGGAAGATTTACCTCTCTCCAGTCCTGTGCTGGAAGATGGACGAATAACAGCTCCCAAAAGATGCTTTGTGCTTCACAAACCACCGCTGGGCCAGCCCTGGAGGAGGCAAACCTTTGACAGCTGGGCTGAGCTCGCATTCTGTCTGAATCTGCAATGTCAGGCCCCGGCTGGGCAGTGCTGGGATCCTCACCTTGTCCACAGCCCTTATCACGTGTGAAGGGCTAACAAACTGCACCTGAGTATTTCCTAAAAGATTCCTGTTGAATTATTTTTCTTTTTTATAATTGATCTTGAACCATTAATCCAGCAGCCCAGAGAAAAGGGATAATTTTCTAGGAGCTGCAGGGTTGGCATCTAAGTGCACTTCAGCATCTTCCTCCCACAGCCCCTGCTTCAGTTTAAAACCTTAGATAAGGCTGATCTTAGCTAAATCACCTAAAGATTTTGCTTTAATTTCCCTATCTGTGAATGAAGGTGATTAATTCAGAAATTCTTGTGAGTATGAGGAGAGTTGTGGAATTGCCAAGAACGACAGAAGATCAGCTGGTTTTGGAGGTTCCTGAAAGTGTTACCTGTTTATCTGGCCCTGGCCTTGCACTGTCCTGCATCAGGACCAAGGAGGAAACCTGCTACCTTGTGGGACACAAACTTTAACCTGAGATAGAACAGGACTGTCCCTTCCAGCAGCATCATGAAACAGCTCAGAAACAAAAGCTTCAAGGCCTTTGGGTTTTGTTTTACCTTTTTTTTCCATAAGGCCTGAATTTTCATTTGAAAGAATTGCGTCTGATTTGCTCAGGCCAGGCTGGCAGAGCAGTCTGGTGTGAGTTGTTACTGCAGACATTGTTTTGGGAATGATAGGTTGCTCCCAAATGTGAGAGCAGCTCTGTTTCTTAACAACAATTTGGTGAGGTGATTGACTCAGTACAGGGAGCTGTGTTTTAAAAAGCAATTAATTAGGCAGTTGTAATTCTTCCACTGATTCCTGGCATTATGTTTCCCCCTTTCAAATTAAACACAAATGCTTCTAAAAATTGATTACAGAGAGGCCATTCCTAAGTTTGCCTGCATTTGTCACTTCTTGATGAATTATACACAGAGTGGAGCTTGCTAGGTGTAGATTATTTAATACTCAGGTGGCTTCATTGCTGCCTTACAAACATGTCATCATTTTCCTTGGGTTACAGAATGGCCCTCAGCATCCCCATTTGGAAATCTGAACAGACAGGAGATGTTTCAATATCTCATTTGAATAAAGAAATAAATATCTTGAGAATGAGGTGGGAAAAGCCAGCAGTGAGAAGAGCCTGGGGGGGTAATAAAGGCAGCAGGAGAAGTTCCAGACTCCTGTGCTGTCAGGGACTCCTTGTTTGCTTTTAGCTGTGAAAAATGGGAGTGAAAGTGTTACACTGGAGGGAGCCCAGAGCCAGGAACATCAGCCAGGCTGGGGGAACACTTGAGCTGATTCTTTGGGAGCTGTTGTCAGCAAGAGGCACAGGGGGCTTGGTGACACTCTCACAGTTGCCAGACCATTTGTCAGTTCCAATTTGACAGGAATTTCTCTTTTGCCCTTCTTTTATTTTCTTTTTTTTTTTTAATGTGATTTCTTACCTTTGGGGACTGAGCACTGTTGTATCAGTGCAACATTTGCCTTAGGACAAGGACCTCGTCTGTTTAGAGCAGTTAAATTTTGAAATGGGTAAAAATATCTGAGGAAGTACTCTGTGCATTTCACAACTGTGAGAAGTCCTTATTTATATTTAAATATTCATATATTTATATTAATATTTTCATGTGTAATGATAAATAATATATTTCTATTTAAATATTTGCATTAGTAACACCAAGAGGCCATGCCTCTTGCTTTCTCCTCCACAGCCAAGGCTTGATTGAGCATTAATTAGGTAATTACAAGTTTACAGAGCAGGATCTGCACTGAGTCAAATCTTTCTTCCTTGAAGTCCAAAGCAATGAGTGTTTCCACAGGCCCTGTGGGTTTTAGGTGAGAGAGACTCAAGGGTGGCTTGGCTGGATTCAGTGAGGGTGTGGAGAATCTGGATCCAGGACCATCAAAACAACTCCAACACCTTTGTAGGATGCTGCTTTCCTGGGTTTAGATCAGGAGATTTGGATGCATTAAATGAAATTGTGCTCTTTTTCAGAGCTTGGCTTCTTCTATGTGTTCTTGGATCAGCATCTGATGAGGTCTGGGGCATCAAACAGGACAGTTTAGGGACAGTTTAAGGTCAGTTTAGGGTCAGTTTAGGGTCAGTTTAGGGACAGCCTGATCACTGCTGGAAACTCTTATGTGGAGTTTATGGTGAACAAATGCAGCTCCTAAAGCATCCTACAGATCTTTGGCACAGGAGAGAGCCCTGCCAGGAGCGAGTGAGCTACAGCACAGGCTGCACAAATGGCTTGGAAGTTTCTTCACTTGTGCCTGTGCTCTCCCATTTTTACCCACTGCCAGACCCTGGGTATCAAATTTATCCCTACACAAGAGCAACCACTGGACTCACCAGATAAATCCATGAGTGTCCAGGTGAGGACACCCCCAGACAGTCTGGGCACAGTCACCAGTGTCCAGAAGAGATGCCAAGGTTTTGGAAGGGCTGATAAAGCTTTTCCATCAGCCCTGTCTCTAACCCTGAGGCCAGGAGGAGAGACTGGCTGCAGCAGGCAGGATTCCCCTGTGCTCTGGGATTGTCTGGCACTGGAATTGCCTGCCACTATCAATACCAGACCAGTGAGCCCACAGCTCTGATTCCCAATGTCGTTATTTTCCTGCATAGTCAAATCACTGAGGAACAGAAGAAAAACCAAATTTTTCTTGTCCTTCCCCTCCAACTTGGAGCTGTCAGGTTCCTCAGAGATGTGAGTTCTTTGTGTTTAATTGTCACCCTTCATGCCCAAGGAGTCCTCTGGCCGCCCCAGCGAAGCAGAGACAGAGCTGGGGCTCATCGTGGGCCATGCCTATTCCGTGACTGCCATCGGGAAGCTGCGCCTCGGAGAGAGGCTCCTGCTCTCCTTCAAGGCAGAAAAGCTGTTCATGGTCAGGCTGAGGAATCCCTGGGGGAAAAAAGAGTGGCACGGTGCTTGGAGCGACAGGTGAGAGCTGCAAACGCGGTGTCAGGGGGTGAAGCTGCGCTGGGGGCACCGCAATTTGTGGTTAAACTCTGCTGAGACACATCTGTACTCAGAGATGGCTGGACCTCTGTGCCATCTCTGCCCATCTTCCTCTGAGAGAATGAGCACGTCCTGGAGCAGTTTATGGCTCCCTGGACCTTATTTACTCCTTCCATCATTCTTCTGGCACCTGGGAAGAAAAATAGCTCATGAGTCAAGAACACGAGGCTCGTTCCCAGCCTCACCATGAGCGTGTCTGTGACTCAGTTTCTCATCTGCAATTTCCAGCTGCTGGGGGTGGTAAAAGTCTTGTAGATAATTTAAGTGACTGGTGAAAAACGCTGTAAAAGTGCCACATTTGTGATTTCTTTCTAATTAACTTTCTGATGAATTTTCGTGTGGGCCATGGGCTTAGCAGGTAGCTCCACAGCAAGAGAAATGATTGCTGGAGGGGATGTCTCCCATCATGGGTGATTTATACATGAAAAATACGTGACAGTTCAGCACTGGGCTCACCAGTTAGCATTCTGTATTTAACAATGCAGTGTTCTTAACAGCAGCATATTAATTTCTTACGATCCATGCTTTAGCTAGCAAAAATCTGCTCCTTTCAGAGAGATTGGTCTGGGTGAAATGAAAAGAATGCACAAAAGAGCTGCTGTGTCTTGTTTAACTGGAGCCCTCAGGGTTCTCCAGCAGCCTGTGTCTGGCACAGCTGCCACTCATGCCAGCACTGAGCACTCTGACGGTGGCCCATGGCTTTTGGTCTAACAGAATTAAATTGACAATTTCCAAATAGGTTAAGAAAATGTCTGTTAGGGCGAGCAGCCTCCATTCCCTCCTTCCAGCCACCTCCAGCTTCAGCCTCCAAGTGCTTTTGGAAGGGCAGCGAGGAGTTGTGGCTCTGTTTGGCTGCTGTAACCATCAGGGCCAGGGTCTGGTTTGGGTTTCAGCAGGAGGCTGCTGGAATTTAGGGGCTGTGTCCCTGGAGGCTCTGGGCACTGCAGTGCTCCTCTGCAAAGTGGACACCATGCTCAGGCTCCAGCAGTTCCTTCTCAAAGGGCCCCCAGGGAAATCTCAGACCTCAGGCCTGTTTGATTAAGGTGATTAAAAGACAGAGAGAATACTTTGGTCTAAGTGAAGCGTTCGATAATCTCCCGAGGAGGAAAAGCAGGTTTCATTTGAGGCGCCTTCAGGGAATGGAGTCAATCTCCTGTGACCTTGGAAACCAGCTCTTTAAGTGTTTAACAGTCCTAATGGAGGGGGTGACAAGGGAAATCCATAAAATTCTGCTCTCCTTTAGCCTATTTCCTGTTCATCTCTTTCCTTTTTAGTAGCTTTCAAATCAATTAATGTTTTAAAACTCCTGAAAGCCTCACACTTTCATCAAAATCATCTGCCCTTTCAGTACTCTGATATTCCTTTTAAAACCACGGACCAGGAGAGATTTTTACTTCAAATTATTTTTTTCCAGGTGAGAGTTTTTATTTTATTTATTTTACTTATTGTTTTGATGGGGTTTTTTTCTATTTTTTTTTTTTTTTAATTATTTCCTTTTAGTTCTGAAGAGTGGAAGAAAGTCAGCGATTCTGAGCGCAAGAATTTGGGGCTGACTGTTGAGAACGATGGGGAGTTCTGGTGAGTGGGAGTGATGTGAAGGATTTGGAGACACTGGCTACAGTAACTGTCATTAATCTGCCATTTATAACAGCTCCAAAAACAGATGGATAAAGTTATCCCAAGGTCTGTTTCTTTCAAACTCCCAAGGGATGACAGGGAAGGATAAACAAAATGGATTTAAAACTAGTAGAACAAAATTAGTAGCTCTCAGAATCTATTTAATCATAATTTAATTTAATATAATAATTTAATAATCCCTGTATTAGGGATAATCTCTCAGAAACCAGGAGAACATGTGCTGGTTTACATGGCACAATGCCCAATATTGAACAGTGTTTGGACCAGTTAAATTTTGAAATAAATATCTGAGGAAGTACTGTGTGCACTTCACACCCTGTTTACTGACTACTGTGCCTGTCTGTAGGTCAGCCATGGCTGAGGCATCTAAAAATAGAGTTGCATCCAGTGAATTTTGATATTTGTTGGTGTTTTCCAGCATAGGAATGAGAAGTGTTCGTTATCTATACAATGTCTAGAGCTCTATTAATTTTGACCTTGCTTAAAGCTTAGATCCTCAGCCCAGCAGGTCCTTCAAGAGATGATCAATATTGCACCATGTGAGCTGGCAGGGCTCAGAGTGAAAAGAATTCTGTTGGCTTTGTCAGGACTGGCAGCTGCAGGGTTTGGATCTGTGCCATGAATAAGCCAAGCCATGATGGTAATTCAAGGAGCCAAGCTGTTTTGCAGTAGCTCTGCAGTCCAGCTCATTCCTTTAGCAGGCACAGGTGAGATGGGGTTAAATAAAAGCTCTGTCCAGAGTGCAGAGGACTGAGTTCTGCTCAGGGACAGGTGTGACAATCAGGAGTGTAATAATGAGGAGTGGATCCTGCTTTAATTGCAGGATTTATCAATTTAATTGATCTCTTTGGCCTTTGTAAAATGTGATACCAAATCCAGCCTGGGAGGTTCAACCAGCCCTTTAGGCTGGTTTAACAGAGCAGATCCTCATCTGACCAAAAACACTGAGTGATGCTGCTCTGAATTAAGCTCTACAACTCTGTGACTGTGGCTTCACGAATATTTCCACATGGAAAGCTTTCCAGTGAATCAGTTTGTCCCCTGAACAGCTGAGCAATGCCTCCTCTTCAAATCACTGGAAGATTTTGTGTTTTGGCTCTTTGTGTGAATATCACTGCTTATTTTTAAACAAACCATTACTCCCCTGGTGTTCTGTGGAGCAGGATGACGTTTGAGGACTGGTGTAAGAATTTCACAGATGTGGACATCTGCAGGACTGTGAACACCTCCTACTTCAGCCTCCACAAGACCTGGGAGAAGGAAATGATGTATGGGGCTTGGACAAAGCATCCAGAGCCTCTGCTGAACCGATCTGGGGGCTGCTTTGATAACAGAGAGACCTTCCTGCAGAACCCCCAGGTGGGAATCCCTGTGTTTTGTGAGGTACTGTGTATTTGTGAGGTATTGGGTAACAGAGAACCCTGCAGAACCCCCAGGTGGGAAGTTTTGTGAGGTATTGAAGTGGATCCACTTTTAGCTGGGGCTCCTGAAGTATCCAAGCTGTTTAGGAGTTGGCAGTGACTACCAGACAAAAATCTCATTGCCCTGGGAGTGTGCTGTGTATTGCATGTTTCAGTGATTTTGGTGCAATTTCTCAGAAGGGTTTAGATATTTATTTAGGACTGTTCATGCTTGCGGCTGGTGAGTCACACACACAAAACACAACAAAATTACTGATCTCCTGCCTGGACTTCTTTCATTTTTCCAGTCGTAGAAAGGCAACAAATCTGATTTTCAAATGACAGAGCTCATTTAACCCCCTTAAACAGTTTGGGGATTTGATCCACTGTATGAAGTTAGTATCCCTTGGCATTAATGTAAGATTCTGGAAGTACCTGGTCTCTTCCCCAAGCTCAGCCTCTCATCATCAGCACTACAGAATTTTCCTTGTCTTGTCCTACCTGGTCATTTCAAGCTATTCAGTTTATTTGTTCATCCATTCCTACTCCCTTTCCACTTTCCTGCCCTTCTCTCTCCCAGCACATGCAAATTCAGCCATGTAACTTCTGTTCCTGTCCGTGGGGTCTGGGCACCTACTCTGCTACTGCTTTGAAGATGGATCTTCCTGTCCAGATTAATTAAAGATATTTTTGGATCTGTTTCTCTGCACTTTCAAGGGAGGTTGCCTGCAGCCCCTGTTCTCAGAGCAGGATGCTGGAGCAGTGCAGCCTCTGCTGCTCAGATCAGATCTCAGATTCCCAGCTCATCCTGCAGCTCTTCACTGCTCTGCCTTCTGCCAGTGCCTCATTTCCAGGGGGTGATTTAATTCAGGTGTTGCCCTGTAAGACTCTGGATGTGTTCCAAGTGCTTGTCTGCTCTCATTTGTAAGTGTTTATCTGTCACAGAGAACAAAATGCACATGTTCCAGCTGAGTGCAATGCCTGGTGCCCTGGCAGGTCTCTGTGTTCCAGTGTGATGAAAAGGCTCCTAGCAGCAGTGCTGGAGCACATTTCTGTTATCTCAGGGCCATGACAGGTTACTGTGGCACACCCCACCATCACCTGGAGATAATCTCAGTCTGTTCTCCTGGCACTGAGGCCTCCTGTGAGGTTTATATGTGCAGAGAGGGATTGTGACACTTCCAGCCCCTTTGATAAGGCAATTCCAGCCAAGCATTTGTGTATCCTGCAGTCACCTGCTGCCTTCTAGATCATTACCCACTGAGACAGCTGAAGAGCGTCACAAGTTGCAGAGCTGTCATCAGACCAGGAGAACTTTCCTGGTTCCACTTGTTTCCCTCCCAGCCCTCCATGGCCTTGGAACACTCTGGGCTGTGGTTCAACATGGACAGGAATTAAAATGTGCATTACTGGGTGTTGCTGCATGCTTATATCTCACTTTTTAGGTTCTCTTACACCCCCTGGGACTCTCCCTGTGCTTTCTCTGCTGCAATGTGTGAGATAAAACACAAATCAGAGCTTGGGATGGGCCTTGTTCAGCAGAGCTCCAAGGCAGAGGGATGTAGACGGTTCTGGAACCAAGGCAATCTCAGTATCTACCTCAGAGCAAAGCTCAATAATTTGCTTTTTAGCAGCAGTCGAAGGAGAAGGGAGGGAGGAATTGAACCAATGACGATATTCCTCTCCATGCTGCCAGGGAATTTCTGCTGGAATCAGAACATGTGGCGCACATGGTACCCAGCTGTGTGCTGCTGCAGGTTTATGTTTCTATTTATTTCCTTCACATTTAAATGTCTTTGAGGATGGGAGTGTAGAGCATCTGTCCAAATTTGGGGTAAATTATGTCCTCTTCCCTCCACTGGTCCTGACTACTCAGGTTTGCCCTCTGTATGCACAAAGCAAAATTTAAAGGAGTCTCTAATAATGAACATATTAATTAAATTCCTTGTCATGTAAAGAAACACCTGTCTGACCTTCTTTTGTTCATACTTATTTATGAACAGGTCTGGTAGTGGTTTTTAGTAACGTGTTCAAGTCAGGTTTAGTAAGATGGGAACTGCTGCTTAAACTTGAGATAAATTCCTTTGATTTGTCATAAACCCAAGATGACTCAAGTTCACTGTACACAGTTTGGATAAAATATTTGCACGCTAAAGGTGCAGGAGTCTTTCTTGGCTGTTTTTTATGGAGTATTCAGGAAAATTGAGAAGTCCAAAATTAGCATTTCTGTCATTCTCACATTAAATAAGAACCTTAGATGCAGAACAAAGTGCCTTTTAAATAAGGTTTGAAAGAGTCCTTCATTTGCAGGTCCTGTATAAAGATGTTTGACATTTACAGGCACTGTTTAGTTTAAAGGAGAATCAAAAATTATCTAAGACCCCATGTGGAGTCTGTTGGTTTATTTTTTTCATCCCACTGCTGATTTACAGCTAAATAAAACTTCATCTTCTGTCTTTTGCTTTCAAATGAGGTGTCCTCCTGCTGACTCCAGTTATTTTGTACCTTTGTCCCAGGCTGTCCTTTATGTGAGTTCATAGAATTAGGGAATCACAGAATGGTTTGGGTTGGGAGGGATCTTAAGGCTCATCTCATTCTGCTCTCTGTCATGGCAGGGACACCTTCCACCATTCCAGGCTGCTCCCAACCCCATCCAACCTGGCCTTGGGCACTTCCAGGGATCCAGGGGCAGCCCCAGCTCCTCTGGGCACCCTGTGCCAGGGCCTGCCCACCCTGCCAGGGAAGGATTTCTTCCTTACATCAGGTCTAAACCTACCTTACTTCACCTTAAGGTCATTCCCCCATCTCCTCTCACTAAGATTACCATTTTCATCAACACCTTTTATTTACCTGATACTTTTGATTTTAAGATCCTTATTATTAGCACTGATTCTCCAGCTGGGAATTGCTGGGAATGTGCAGCTACATGGAGAAATCTCCTTCCTCCCCCAGATGCATTTCCATTTGCCTCATTTGTATGCAGATATTTCCTGGTGATGGCTTCACCCTCAGCCTCCTGAGGTAATTCCAACAGCTTTTCTCTCTTCTCTCTCCTCCCAGTACCTCTTTGATGTTAAGAAGGTGGAGGACAAAGTGTTGGTGTCATTGCAGCAGGAGGATCGCCGCCAGTACAAGAAAGAAGGGAGAGGAGAGAACATCACAATTGGCTTTGAAATACTCAAGGTAGGCAGCCAGCTGCTCTCCTGGTGCAGAGTTTGTTCAGTTTTCTCTCTGCTTCACCCTGGCAGTGAGATCTTTGGTAGGTAGAGCCAGGATTATCCTGGGGTCTGGTTCTGTGCTCAAACTTCGTGTGAGCGCTGCACTCAGGCCAGGGGAACTCAACTGAGTTTAGTTCAGCTCAAACTCTATTTGAATAAATTTCATTTATTTGAAATAAATAACTTTTGCCCCTTGCAAAAGGATTTTAAGTGCTTTTCTTACCCCAAAACTTTCTAGAGAAAGGCAAAATTATATTAATGCTTGAAACATGGAGAGTTTTGGTTTTTCTCCTTCTTCTGCCTCCATTTCATCAGCAAATGCAGCCAGGTGAATGAAGTTGAAAGGCCTGCAGTTTTTCTGTTGCCACTTAGGAAAAAAGTGTTTTCAAAAGCTGGACTAGTGAGCAGGAAATGAATATATGGGAAAAGGAACCACAGGGAACCCAAAAGGCAATTTAATGGCACTCTTGGGACGAATTGAGTGAAATGAAAACACTCAAACTCGGGGAAGGAGGGAAGCAAAGAAACAGCGATTTTTCTGCTCCTTCACCGGGGGTAATCCTGTCATCTGCTGCTACAGCTCCTGGGACTTCATTAAATCTATAGCACTACCCTAAAAAAAAAAGTCAATTTTTAACACTTGGTTAGATGTGCTGACATCTGCATCGCACCTACTCACTTGCCAATCACCTGTTAACCACATATATTGAAAAGTGTGCTGCAGAAAGCAGAATAATTTCCCTTGTTTATGCCTGTAATTTGGAAAGGCTTGAAAATCACAGCTCCCTAAAAGTTTCAGTGCTCTATTTTTATTTCTGATCAATACTTTTTCTATTTTAGATATATTCTAACACACCAGGCTCATTAGCATGACTAAAGGCCTTGGTTAGAGAGCTGCCAGAAAAGAATGAGGGGCTGCCTTTCCCCCAAGAGCTGCTTGAGAGAGCTTTGGATTTAAACTGTGCTCTGGCAAATACCAGTCCCCTGGAGGGGATGTGAAGAGTTAAGCACAACTTCAAGGCATAGAACAAAACATGAATGGTTATCCTGTGGTTTTTGTATTCAGGAAAGGGCAAGGAAAATCCAGCTGTGTGCATCTGGATTGGGAGCCTGCTGTGAAAGCTAGAGGAAGGAGGCAGAGGGATCTCAGCCTTGTCTGAGCAGGTGCAGTCCCTGGGGTGTGTGCCCAGTGCTGGAAGTGTTCCAAGCTCTGCAGCAGCATCCCAGCATCTCTTTCAGTGGTTTCTGTCTCTGCCAGCCCCAAACTTTCACCTGCCACAGCTTTACTGGATGAGAAACCACTTGCCAAATGATTTGCCTTTATTGCACATTGCGTTTTATGGCCGTGAAAAGCTTCGTGGTGCTCAGGGAGAGCCCTGCCCTTATCTCTGCTGTCCCTGCTGGCATTAACCCCTCTCCTGCTGCAGGTGGAGGACAACAGGAGGTACAGGCTGCACAAGCTCACGGTGCAGGAGAGAGTGGCCACGTCTCCCTACTCCAACACACGCAGCGTGTTCCTGAGGAGGAACCTCCAGCAAGGCCGCTACGTCCTCATCCCAACCACCTACATCCCAGGTGTCCCCACAAAATTCATCCTCAGGCTCTACACAGATGTGCCCTCAAAACTCAGGTGGGTGGCAGTGCAGGAGATGCTCCTTAGCCCACAGGCTCCATGGAAGGGGTTGCCAGGCTGTCCTCCAGCTCCCCCTGACTCGCTGGCTCACGGGCTCCAGAACCGGGCCCTGGAGACATCAGGGGCACCTCTGAGACTCTCCAGGTTTGTCATGGTCAGGAAATGTTTAGTTGGGGACCTCTTGGACCATTCATTTTGAGTCTTTTGGCTTTTTTTAGTTCAGTTCTTGCAGTGGCCTTCAGTTCTAGGTCAGGACACTGAGCACTGGTGCTTGTGGTTCCAGCTGGTATTTGTTTCTGTGAGATTCATCTCCTCTGAAAGCAGTGCTTGCTGCAAGAGTAGAACCAGTGCATCACAAATCAGTCCCACTGCATTTATTTCTTGATTTGATACTATTTTCCACTATTTAAAATTGTTGGTTTTTTTCACCACCTTTGCTTCCACACAAAAGATAACACAAATTTATTTTACTTTGCTCTGTTTTTACTTCTTACATCTGTCATTTCTGCACCACAGAATTCAAAAATGGCAGATGAGGAAAAACTACAAATGCCAGATTTCCACAACCATTGATTGCTTGTCTGGCATTCTTTGCTTAGGTTGCTTTTTCCATGATTTTTTCAGGGAGCTGAAGGCAGACAGGCCAAAAATGACGTGTTGGAGTCTCCTTTGTGGCTACCCACGCAGAGTCACCCAAATCAAGGTCCACTCTGCAGAGGGTTTGCAGAAACAAGACGGATCAGGAGGTAAGTGGGAAGAGAGCCTGGAAGAGTGGAATTGGCTTTTCAGTCCTCTGAAAAGATGATTTGGGTTGGTGTGTAAGCAATCAGAAGTTATCCAAATGGAGGAATTATGGGATTTGTTTTTCCATCATGTTGTAAAACGTGCTCCAGTGGAGAGATCAGGTGAATGTGGGGATGCACAACAGCAAGTTGTGGACAGGTCCATAACTGGTCAGGTGGGCAGGAGTAGCCAGAACCTTCTGAGGGGATTAGTAAGGTTCTTCTGACAGGGTTGTGTATTTTCTAAATGGAAAATATCCAGGAGGCAGTAGTGTGTTATATTTACCTGATTAGAGCACTCCAGGCTCTAATCTATGGTTTTCAAACAACCATTTTCAGCTGGGTAAAGTAGAACAGGGGTGAAATGCTTTGTACATGACTGTGTATCTGTCAGAGGAAGTGTCCTGAAGGACACCAAAATGGCTTTATAGCACCTGATATTGAGTTAATTAGGAAACTTTCCCAGTTGTCATTTGCTTTTCCATTTTCTACTTCCTGCTCTCTGTCTGATACTCTTCATTTTTCACAGCTCAGTGCTGGTTGTCATCAGAGCCCTGTTCCTGGCCAGAGGAAATTTATTTAATCTTTATTTTAAATGTTTATTGGAAAGCTCCTCCTTGATGCTGTCTTTTATCCATTGCCCTGTCTGGACAAAATAATGGATGTTTTGCTGTTGTCAGGAATAGTGGATGAATCTAAGGGCTCAGACTCAGTCCTGGATGCTCCTTGTGGAAGTCCCTCTCTCCAAGTCTGTGTGTTCTGAAGTGGATCCAGCTGTCTGTGAGCCAAGCACAGTGGCAGGTCTGCAGGATGATGAAGAAACTCTTTGTGCTAGAGGATTTTCAGTCTCTTATTCCCAAGCCTGTTTTAAAAATTGCTCTCACTACAGCCTGTCAGGCTTTCCCCCCGAATTTTCTCTTTGAGAACAAATCACCTTTTGCACCTTTAAGTCTTCCTGCTGACACTCCGTGTTGGATTTGCATATTGAATTGTTTTTCACCACTTCCATTCTAAGCTGAGTGTTGAGATCCGTGGTGTGTGACAGCCCTGGAAGCAGAGAATCTTTAGTGGAAGCTGCCTTGGGAGAAGCCTGAGAAGCAGAAGGAAAGAGAAGCAGAGATTCACCTGCAAGAAGCAAAGCAACTTGCTGTGATTGCCAGGGCAGTGCTTGTGTCTCAGCACTGTATCTGCCACTTTTCCAGTGGCTGAGGGTGTCAGAGCTCTCCAGGTTCTGGTAATTCCCCCAGGAATGTTTTCCAGAAAGCCTTTTGCTTTGGTACAGTGCTGCAGGATGGGGGTGTTAGATCCTTGGTGCAGTTCTCAAAAACTCAAAATTTAAGCCTTAGACTACTGCCTGAGCACAGATTTCTTTAAGCCTTAGAAATGCCATTACTGTTCAGGTGTTTCTAACTTTTACAGATTCCAACTTTTTCATTTCCACTGTTTGTTTGTACAACTTCCCAGAGCAGCAGCATGGCCAGGACTGAGGTAAGAGAGCTGTTCCGAGGTTCAGGGCAGAGCTGGAGCCATTTGTGTGCCCCAGAGCTGAACCCAGCCCTCCTTCCACTGCCAGATCTGTTTCCTGAGCTGCAGCTCCAGTTTCATTCCAGCTCAAGGCCAATACCAGGACATTACTTTTCCACTCTAGCAGACCTTTCTGTTTTCCCTTTGTCCTGTAAATAAACCAGGCACAGAACTGGGCCATCCATAGCTGAGAACATCTGATCCCCTGTGTGCTCTCCCACCGCTTCCTTTTGTTGTGGAATTGGAGCCAGTTTTTCTAAATCAGCTGAAGCATCCAGCACTGCCATCATGGGGTCAGAACATTTTGGAACATCATGGATGCAGGAACATTTTGTGTACCTCTTCTACCTCCTTATGTTTCTCGAGGTCTTGCTGAGAATTTGAATGTTTCCTTCAAATATTCTCTTTGCTTTTCCTTCCACTGAGCAAGTCCCCTCATTAACTGCTCCCTCACCCATCCAGCAGATGTGCCTGTCACCTCTTTAGCTCTGTGCCCTTTCCTCACCCCTCCTTATGCTCTTTATCTCTTAATTAATGTTAATGATCAGGTGTTGCTCTGCTCTTTGCCCTGGGACAAAGTTGTTAACACCACTGGGGTGACAGGCAAGACCCCGTTTATCCAGATCCATTTTCCAGATTACTTTGCAAAGAGGGCAGCTCTTCCACGCTGGTGCCACCCCATGCCCCAGAGCCGAATCCACAGTTCAGTGACACGGAAGGCAATTGCCCATCAGAAAATCCAACATCCTGCTACCTGCCATGGAGCTGTGAGGGGTTGTCAGGGAAACAGGCAGCTCTGGCCAGGTGTAACCACAGAGCAACACATGGAAAAATCTGTGTGTGCCTTGGAGATGGAAGTGGCTGTGTCTGGTTTGGATGCAGCTGTTGTGTGGTTTGTTCCTGTGAGATGTTGGTACCTGGTCTTGAGTGATGTGTTTGAGGGAAATCATCTGGGTGTGGTTTGTTGAAAAGCTTGCCTAAAATTGTGCTGCTTTCTGGCTGTGCTGGTATTTTCAAGTAGATGGTGAAAAAATGTGTGTTAGAAACTCTTATGAGCCTGACTTATCGATACCCTGGGTTTATTTAAAATCTAAAGAGTTGCAAGGTGTGGAAAAAATAGATATTCTGTCATTAACAGCAGAAATGGACAGAGTTCTGTTGAAATACAAAACATGGTATTGCCTTTGATTAATTAAAAGTTGATTAGAAAGTGGAGTGGCCCATTCTGTTTGAATGTGTTTGGTGTTTCCGAAATGGTTCTTGTTCCTTATTGTAAAGAGAATATCAACTTTAATAAGAAATTAAAATGCTCAGTGTAAAAACAAAGCAATTCTAGAAAGTTGAGCAGTTGCAGGGGATCATGTATGAGGGTTAGACTGGAGTTTAGGGAGAAATTCTTCCCTGTGAGGGTGAATTCTTCCCTGTGCCAGGCCCTAGCACAGGTGCCCAGAGAAGCTGTGGCTGTCCCTGGATCCCTGGCAGTGCCCAAGGCCTGGCTGGACAGGGCTTGGAGCAGCCTGGGACAGTGGGAGGTGTCCCTGCCATGGCAGGAAGTGGGACTGGATGGGCTTTAAGGTCCCTCCCAACCCAAACCATTCCAGGATTCTGTGTTTTCACCTGGGTAGGGAGCAGTGGCTGTGATGTGCTTTGGTGCCCTGTCCTGTGGTGCTGCCAGGCTGTGCTGGTTTCACACAGGCACAGGGGGGGATTGTCTCTGCTGGGTTTCTGGGCATCTCTCAGCTGCCATCCTGAGTGCCCAGAGCTGTGCTGCTGGTTGTGTTCCAGGAGCAGATCCCTACGTGCTCATCAAGTGTGAGAACCAAAGCCGGCGCTCCCCGGTGCAGCACGGCACCACCAGCCCCGTCTTCAACACCCAGGTGATCTTCTACAGGAAGGACATCGACAGTCCTGTCACCATCCAGGTGAGACAGCCACAGGGCAGCTGCTCAGGGCAGGGAGGGCAGCACAGCAGCATCCCTGGGCTTCACTGGGCCACCTTTTCCTTCGTGTGACTGATAGCCAGGAGAGAAGAGTGAGAACCTCTTGCTGGGCTCTGCCAGGAGCTCTGCTGCTGCCTCACCCCCACAAACACCAGCTGGTGGCACTTAGGGATCACCAGGCATGTTTCATTTCAAGACTTTGAAAGAATTTACAGAATTCCTCTTCCCCTATCTGGTACCTGATGAAACAGAGACAAAGAAAAGCCAAGTGTTATCCAGAGTCAGTGTTTGAAACAAAACCAAAGCTAAGGCTGTTATTAAGTTTTCTCCCCTGAATTGTAGTTGTGTCAGAAGTAGATTCACTGTTTGCCTCAGCACTAGCTGGAGAAATAGAGCTTGGCGTTGAGATGATGCAGTCCAGGAAAACTTTGTCTTGGGCCAGGCTCTAAAACTCCAGCACCGGGGAGGTGCAGAGGTGGGCACAGGCAGGCAGAGCAGCACAGACAGGCTATTGTAGGGAGCTTTTACTGCCGATGAGGTAAAAAAAAAAGGTCATTTTTATTCCTCTCCTAGGCAGGCTGTGACCTAGAAAGCAAAAAGCTGCATTTCGCTCCTTATTTGCATAGTCTATGTAAATGAGCATGCAAATGCAGACTCTCCCTCATGCTCTCTAGACAATTAGCTAAATTTAGACGCGCAGCCCTTTCCGGCGGAGCGTGAAAGAAGGTTTTATTTGTGTCCCCTCTTGGGCAGGTGTGGGACAGCAGGCTCCTGAGCGATCAGCTGCTGGGGCAGGCGGTGCTGGCAGCCTCCCCCGGTGAGCCCCGGCAGCAGCAGCGGCTGCGGCTGCAGGGCAGGGCCGGCGGGGAAGCGGCGGCGGTGCCGGCTCTCATCAGCATCACGGCTCTCTCCAGCGATGACCTCGCCGAGCTCTGAGCCCCGCGGAGCCAGACGGAGCTGGCAGCTCCGGGGACGCGGAACATCAGCATAATCGCTTTAAAGGGGATGGGGGGGAAAAAAGCCCCGCGGCTCTCCACATTATCATTGGTAATGGGCGGAGAGGCGTTGGGAGAGGGGGGAACGCGTTTTTGTACATATCTATGCTCGTGCGGTAGGAGAGGGGCCAAATGGAACGCTGGCAGGTAAATTCATGAGGATGTGAGCATCTTCCCAGCAGGCAGGAATGGCTGCAGCTCCATCGGGCACCCACCAGCAGCCTGGGGACTGGCAAGTACAGGGGGATTCACGGAGATTTCCAACCACATAGAAGGATATTCAATTCAATTTCTTATAGATTTCACTACACATTCGGTGTTTCTGTTCCTTGGTAGAAATGCCACTACTCGAGGAGCTCAGTCACAGCTCGTGGCCTTAAGACCAGTCTTGCTAGGACATTAAAATAGAGGGGCAGATCTCACAGTGCCTGCTTGAACCCTGCAGCAAATTAGAGCTTTGTCCACACGAAGGCTCTCAGACTGACTTTCTGATTCTTCTCCACCTCGAGCTGGTGTCTCACATCTTGCTATCTCTGTCCAAGGGCATCTCACAGTTCAGCTGCGGCTTTGCTCAGAGCACGGATTCAGTAATGGGAGCCTCCTTGCATTGTTTATGCCACATAATGCTAAAAATGGAGTAACAGCCCTCTTGTTTTGGTAGATGTTGCACCAGCCTGAAAGAGGAGAAAATGAGCTCGTGAGAAGGGTGGGTTTGTAAAAGCAGGGTGCTGTTCCCTGGCAGGTGTCAGGTCTCACTCTCAAAATTGTGCAGTCATTTATTGCTGGCATGGCTGATGTTCGATGGAGTTTCACTTGGGTATCACGGAGGATGGGTGTTATTTCACATTTCCTGCCAGCAGGGGTGAGGTGCCAGCTCTTCCCTTGCCCTGCAGCCCGTGGCAGGGTTCCCTCAGCAGCTGTGTGGGGTGGGCACGCTGGGCACTGACCCTGGCAGTGCATGGGGCTCCCTGTGCCAGACACTCGGAAATGGATTTTACACAGCTGCAGATTCTGGGTGGTAAAGTGAAGCTGAAGAATTGTTCTGCCTTTTTCACAGCCAGGAAACTGGGATTTCTCGTAGCCACTTCAGCCACACTGTGTGATTTTTACAATTTATGAAGTGGCCCTTGACAGAGTTAATGTTGTCACAGGAGGTTTTGAAGTCTCCTCAGGGCTGTGGTAGGAAAATGCTTTCTCTGACATGCAGGGATGGACTGTGGGGCTGGGAATGATGCTGCAGTGCCATCAGCTTAGCTGCATGTACCAAGGACACAGATCCAGCTCTTTTCAGACAGTTTGGCACAGCACAGATCTTGTCAGAGGTGTGAACTACAAGCCCCACAGGCAAGTGACATTCTCTGTAAGCTCATGGCTGCAGGGCTGCTTACTCTCAGAAGTGTTTGTAAACTGAGATTTCTCTTTTTAAAAGCATAAACTGTCTCATACAGACCAGAGCTTGGACAAGGGGAACTGCAAATGTCAGGGCTGCCCTAATCCTGCACTGACACCTGTTTGGTCTTTGTTTGACCTTTACTTGTCCTCACACACTGTTCCAGGCTGTGGAGCTGCTTCCCACAGTGTTCCCTATGGGATGGGGCCATCCCCAGGGATTGGCTTGTCCAGGGCTCAGTGTTTAGCCTGGAAAGATTTCCACTCCGAGATGGCACCAGAGGTTTGTGCCTCCCTGCCCCACGATTTGGCTGAGAAAGCTCCTGAGCCTGCTGAGGGCACAAAGCCACCTCAGCTCCAAGCTGGATGGGAGTCCCTTGGCTCTTTCCTTGGAGCCCAGAGCCCTGGCCCCCAATGCCAGCACCCTGTTCCAGCCTCTGTAAAGGGCTGTCCCCAGCAGCAGTGGGACAGAGGGAGTGTGAGCAGCAGTTCTTGGGCAGCCTGGCACGGTGGGAAGTCAGGGTGGGGAGCACAGACACGGTGACTTTCAGGCCTTGATCATCGTGCCAGCTCCAGCCATTGTCCCAGTTCGTCCCTGTGTCACGGGGACAGGCACTGCTGGCCAGTGCTGCCCTGAGGGACTGGCAGTGCTGGGAGCCGCGGGAGGCTCAGCAGGATGTCCAGACCTCTGCATTGATCAATTCTGGGAACTGTTTGGTTTTTCCATCAGGAGGAGATGATCCAGCCTGGGAACACAGCTGGCTCTGCTGGGTTTCACATGCTTCTGCCTTCCCAGGTGGAGCAAGGCAAGGGCAGGCTGACAGGGGCTTGTGCTGCTGCGTGCTCCTAATGTTGTTAGTTAAAATTGTGCATTTTTTAACAATAATCACCATGTGGAAAACATGTTGGGGTTGGTTTTTTGGGAGGGGGGAAGGGCTGCAGTTATGTACGTACTCCAACCACCTCAAAAATGAAAACAGCTGCAAATGGATGTAAAATATTTCATTGCAACCTTTTGTAACTTTTCAATACGAAGTGACCTAAATAAAATTTTACAAAAAATACAATTTTAGCGATTTCTGCGCCGGCGGCGGCCGCGAGAGGGCGCTCGGTGTCCACCCCCACAGGTGTGACCACGGCCAGGTACTGACACCTGCAACACACCCAGATAAAAACGGTGTTTAATTTATAGAGGATGCCACTCATTATCCTATACACTCTATTATATCTCTCTATACACTGTATTACAGTTACAGAAGCGCCTCTGAGTGTATATAAATATATATATATATATATATATGCACACTACATATACACACCCCAATATATATATATATGTATATACAGATATATATTATATGTTTATATATATGAATGGCATTATATGAGGAACTACAGTGCAGGAGAGTTATGGGGGGGGTTGTACATAGGGGACGTTATAAGGTACAAAGTAAATGGATGGCCATAGCTCTGTAACACACTATCTATACGTATAATTATAATTATATAAAACCATTATATATACAGTACTATAATAATAAATATTCTATAAAAAATTATGCATATAATAATTATACAGTATATTGTGTGTCTATGTATATTTGCATCTGTTATATACATATCTTTCTCTAACCTCTATACATATTATATATATAATATAAATTTTATAATATGTATTTATATATATTTAGTATATAATATATATTTATTATATATATATACATATGCATATACATATATATACATATGCATATACATATATATACATATATATAAATAAATATGTATATTATATATATTTTATATGTATATTATATATTTTTTGTGTCAAAGTGTCCTTCCAGGTGGAGGGAGGACAGGGACTTCTCCAAAAACTCCACAGTCCCAGCTGACTGTGTGTATCCAACAGGATGTTTTGGCTGCCCCATTCTTCACCCATTTGGAAATGCAATTGCATTTTCTTCCTCGTCCAGAAGTGCCATAACTGGGTAAAACCCAGCCCATGAGCATTCCAGAGGCAGAGTGGTCTGGAGTTGATGAATGAAGGAGACCCTTCCCCATTTCCAAACCATACCAAAACCTCCATAATTGGGACTTTCCATCTTTAAGAAACAACCAGCAAATCAGAAGTGAATGTAACCATTGGGTGAGAAGGGAGCAAATCTCCCAGAGGAGTGAAAATTTTATTCCTGTTTGTTCTCTGAGCTGGCTTTGGTGGCATGAAGTGCTTCTATGGCCTGACAGATTTTCCTGGCTATACGGATCAATTCAGGCAGGACGGAGAGACTCACGGCTGTTTGTAAAAACGGATGCTGCCCAAAGGGGAAAAAAAGAAAGAAAGGAACTGTTACTTTCCAAACACAGTTTCTCTCAAGAGGAAGCAGGGTTCCTCTGGTTACCAGAAATACACATAAATAGGACTGAGGGGACCATCTCCACCTGAGTGTTAATATTCAGGACCTTGATGTCAAAGGCAACATGTCCCAGTAATCCCATTAATCAATTAATCAAGGTGTCTTCAGCCTGCTGGGATTTTGGCCCTGCCAGCACTCAGAGCTTTTTTCATTTCAGGAAACTCAGAGGACTCACTTAGGTTCTTTTTTTCTAAAGGTAGGGCTGCTTTAGTTGTCAGTGCAAGCTGTTCCGCAGGGAACTCCAGCTCCTCCAAGAAATGTTGATCCCTTTAGGGTTTAGGCCTGTGCTGTTCTGAAGAACACTGAGGTGCAGGTTTTCAGCACCAAGACAAGAACAGCCAAATCTCTGACTGCTGGGACTGGGTTCCTCTTCCACCAACCATGTTGGGCCTCTGTGCCTGGCACCATTCTACTGCAGTTCTCTTGCCACCAGCTAAAACTGAATGCACTCCCAAAATACAACATGGAAATGATCAGAGGGTGGATGGAACACCTTTCCTCTGAGGAAAGGCCAAGAGAACTGGGATTGTTCAGCCTGAAGAAGAGAAGGCCCCAGGGAGACCTTATTGCAGCCTTTCAAAACTTGAAGGGGACCCGTTTTTAGTAGGGCCTGTTGCAAAGGGACAAAGGGTAATCGTTTTAAATGAAAAGAGGAGATTCTGGTTAGGTCTAAGGAAGAAATTGTTTATGCTAGGGGTGGTGAAACACTGGCATAGGCTGCCCAGAGGGGTGCTGGATGCCCCATCCCTGAAAACATCCAAAGTAAGGTTGGACAGAGCTCTGAGCAACCTGATCAAGCTGAAGATGCCCCTATTATGGCAGGGAGGTTGGACCAGATGGACTTTAGAGGTCTCTTCCAAGTCAAATTCTTCTATGATTCTACTTTGAAAAGCACCCAGACAGAGGATTAACAGGAGAGGAGGGCACCTGGAGAGGAGAGAATTTCCCCTGCAGCCACTGGCCCTTTACCTCCAGGAGCTCCCTGGCTGTCCAGCGGATGCTGGGGTCGATGTCCAGGCAGGAGTGCAGGAAGGCATGGAACAGAATGGACATCTTGCTGGGCATCCTCAGAGGGGGGTACCTGTTCTGGGCTATCAGGCGCTGAGCCTGGGGACAGAGGAAGCACAGGACAGCCACTGACCACCCCTGGGGTGACAGCTCCACTGCAGGCCCCTCCTGGCTTTCTGATAGACACTTCTCCAGGGGCTGGGATTAACACTTGAGGGTAAAGAAGCAGGGAATTGTCAACCTCCAGAGCAAGGATGATAGTGACCCTGAGTGTAGCTCAGCTGGTCAGAGCATGGTGCTGATAACCTCAGTGCCCAGATGGGCCATTCACTCAGGAGCTGGACTTAGTGATCCCTCCCAGCTCAGAATATTCTGGGATCTGGAAATAATTCTCTTCATCTGTGTTTGCTGCCTTATACAAGGTAAAGGTAATCCAAAAGTGGTCTTCCAAGTAAAGTCAGGGAACTTTATCAAAAAGGGTGGAAGACTGAAAAGTTCAGAATTGTTGTCTTCTTCAGGAATTAACTGTGCAGCATTTAATTCGGTTTCCACTATTAGTCATGAGATTTTATCCTGGCATACATTCCTCCACTATTCCTTGCTCACTTGGTCTAAGAACTCATCATTTCATTTTAAGGAATTAGAATCTAAAACTAAAAACTTCAAAATACTTTTACTACAAGTAGCTTTGCTAAAACATACTTTTAGAATGTTTTGGGTAGTACATAATTATGGCATCACTAGAATCAGTGACCCTCCCTGAAAGGCACTGGTCAGAATCTGAAAAGACTTCTGGGCCTGCAGATACATTTGTAGTGCTTTTCATAATAATTTCCCAGTTGAAGAAACTTGCTGCTGTCATTCACAGCTGCAGCTCAGAGAGAGATCAAACACAGCAGGAGGAATTCAAGCAGTGCTGGAGGCCAAAAAGGCACATTTTTGCATTGGTACACATCACTTCTCTGATGAGATGTTCTGCAGGGACACTTCTAGAAGTGGGCCTTGGTGGAACTATTTCAGGCTGATTTGAGTGGGATTTGGTTCATGGGAGATAAAACATGGCCCAGATTGGCAAGGCAGTGATATCTGACAGTGTTTGCACCTTACCTGGGCAGGGCTTTCTTTAAAGTATGGAGGTTCTCCCTCCAGCATTTCAATGGCCACAATCCCAAGGGCCCAGATGTCCACTTGGGTGTCATACTCCTTTCTTTTCAGGATTTCTGGTGCTACCCAGTAAGGAGAGCCGAGCACTGTGCACCGTGTGCTCCGCTCCGGGGTCAGCTGAGCACACAGGCCAAAATCAGCTGAGGAGGAAAACAAAAACACTGTCAAAACCACCGTGAACCATGCAACCAAGCACAAAATTTCCCCACTCTATATCTGAGAACATGAGGATTCTGTGCCTGACCAAGAATACCTACTCAGTTTCACAGATCCGTCCATCCCGAGAAGAATATTATCACTTTTGACATCTCTGTGGATCACATTCTTTGAATGAAGGAAAGCCAGGGCTTTGAGGCACTGAGACAAAAAGCCCATGAGAGTAAAAATTAATTAACCTCATTTCATCACACAAGAAAAGGAAATGGCTCTAGAAGATTGAATTTCTAGGTGAAACACCAATTGTTGATAGAGACTGTCCATTCCAAACCCAGCCAGAATGGCTGCAGTGGCCATGCTCTCTCCATCCAGGTGACAAAGGAGGGTTTGTCAAAAAGGAAAACATTTCTCCCTCCATTATGAAGTGGATCACATTTATGTGGGAGGCTGCATGACAGGGGTTTTATCTTGGCCTCAACAGCAGACTTGGAAGTAGCACATCAGTAACTTTTCAGAAGCAAACACCATTTGGGGTGCAATGCTCTCCTTTTAAGCTGACGGCTGTGAGAAATGAGGCTCTATTTTAATTTGCTGTTAGTTTAAAACCCTGCCACCAGCATGTTTGCTTTTACAGCAGTGCAGACATGCTCCAGTTTAAAGAGGGAAAGCTTAGAATGGTAAATTTAAAAAGAGAGTATAACAAAAGTGTAAGAGTATAATAACAGAGTATAAGAAATGCAGTTGTACTGGCAGGAGGCTCACTTAGATGCCCTTTTATTTTACATTTCGTAACAACAGCACTGAAACAAAGCCCTGAACACAAAGTCACTCCTGTCCCACCCCGTCCAAGCCATTGGACCCACAGGCAGGGCTCCTCACCTCCCTGCTGATAGCAGCTATAACTCTTTCCTCTATAAAGACTCGGACAAGAACGCTGGTTAAAGTGCCTCCATCCACATATTCCATCACAAGCCACAGGTCTTCATCCACCAGGTAGCTGAGAGAAGAAAACAAAGGCATGGAGATGAGTGTGCACAGCTAAATTACCTTATGGAAAAGACTGCAGGGGAGTTTCCTTTCCAGGTAACTTGTAAATGGAGGCAGAATGAAATGGAGAGACATTCTTTGGAGGCTACAGAGTATTTGGAATCTGTGCAGACGAAATGAGAAAGGCAAATCCATGAAAAAGGAGATGCCTTAGATGGCAAATGAGAAAAAAGCAATTTAGTAACAGCAGAGATCAATCTGGAACCAGGACACTTGCCATCAACTGAGTCATTATCTTAATTTATTAGTTCCACCAGTCACTCCAGGAACAAGGCAACATAATTCCAGAGTTATCTATGGGAGAAGGCTCTGCACCACTGAGGACAGATGTTGGCCAACCATTTGGAAAATCACATAAAATGCAGTCAGAAACAAGAAAAACTATTTAAAACTGGCAAATTATGTGGTTCTGCAAATGAAAATTTAGTCTTCCTGGCTTTCACAGCAATGGAAAATGATGGGAACAGCCCAAGGGAGATAATTCCTATGATGGTTTATCAGCACTTATGGCTAAGGCATAGAAAATATGATCAACTTGACAAAACCAAACCCCAAAACAACATAGAGGTAATGAACTGACAGGCTGTTGTTTTAGTAAAACATGGCACATCCAAGTTTTTGAAAAGGGGTTTCCAACTACATACACCAGAAAGTATTAATGGAGACCCAAGGCCATCTCCTCCCATCCACTAGAGATGAATAGAGAAATAAGAGCTCCATGTTCTGGCAGTACCCAAAGGGGTTTTTTTAGCCTTTGGCTTGCAGTGTGTGAATGAACATTCCCATGCTAACACCACAACCACTCACCTGTCTATATAATTGACAATATTGGGATGCCGGTTTTCCTTCATGATCTGGATCTCATTGACAACGAGTTCCTTTCTGTTCCGTTTGCGGAGAGGCATCTTCTTTAGGGCCACCTGAAATGAAATTGGAGACCACAGACTCGAGAAGCTCTGCTGCAGGAAAGCACAGTGACCATGGAGAGAGTGTTTTTGGAACGATGGGGCTGGGCTGTGATCAGACACCAGAGCTCAGGAAGTGACATGATGACAGCTGATTTCTGCACTTGCTTGGGTGCCACTTACAGAACACTTGCCACGGATATTTTGCCTTCTAAACTCTGGAAAAATTTCCCTGAACTATCACCCACAGTTCTCTGACAACACCCTGCACCCACATTCTTCCCCAATGGCCTCAGTTTATCATCTCTTTATTATCTCAGTTATTCACGCAGGCTTTGCAAGCAGGATTTTGTGACTGTGAAAATATATCAAAATAGCTGGGAATCCTTCAGCAATTCTTTGGGGTTTGGCCATTATTTCAGCAACTGCTGCTGGTCTTGGTTGCATAACGAAGCAAACACATGCATACATGATGGATAAAATCCCACCCTAAAAGATCATAGCAGTTACACACACACACAAAAATTACAATCCCACAATGTTTCTCAGTTCTTGAACTTCGATTTTGCTATTCCAGCAAGCATTCTTTACCACAGTTCAGATTTGCAATTATTTTCTGGGTTTCTAAAGAAATAACCCATTCTTTGGTATTTTAAGCCTTAATTATGTCCTTCTCTGAAAGATACCACTGCCCCTCTTGCATTTTTTCTGGTACTGAGTCTGTTTCTGGTACAAAGTCTGTCCAAAATGTGTTTTGCAGGCTGGCATTGCTCTGTGCTTGAGGAACAGCCTGTGCAGGAAAGCTCTGCTGGGTACCAAAGCAGAGGGGAAAGCCCTGAAGAGCTGCACAAGGTGCTGGGGGTGTTGGCACTCACCACATCTCCTGTGGCTGGGTTGATGGCTTTGTAAACAGTCCCGAAACCCCTGGAAACAAAAGAGCAGTGAAGAAATGAGAAGCAGTTATGTGCTGGGAGTGAAAGCCAGCCCAGACAGGAGATCTCTGCTGCATGAAGTGTTTTAAAACCCCTTGGTTCATCTATTCTTCAAACAGCACCACAGCAGCTCTCTGTCATGCAGGGTGTCCAAGGGAAAATTGAGGCCCAACTTGAAGAAAAAGAGCTGGAGCACAGATCTTCAAAACCTAAGAGCAGGGGGAGGGTGTGCCTACAAAAACTGGAAAATATTTACATTTTTTTCCATTTTGCCTTGTTGTGTTGGGTTTTCCCTTCTTTTTGTGTTCATGTGTGTATTTTTTTTCCAGGGATGGGGTTTTGTGTGACAGTGTGAGAGTTTATTATTTCACCTCTGGTTTCAGTTGCTAAACCATGTGGTTATACTCTGGCTTACTGAATATTTTTTAAGCAAAATATTTGAAATAAATGCTCTTGAGAACTTCTGACAGCTGTGGGGTGGTAAGGTGGCCTTCTAGGCAAAAAGGTTTGAGGGGTGGGAGATCTTTCAGGTCCTGCAGGTGTATAATCCAGAGTACCAAATATTTTTTGAGCAAAATATTTGAAATAAATGTTATTGAGAACTTCTATCTGACAGCTGTGGGGTGGTAAGGTGGTCTTTTAGGCAAAAAGGTTTGAGGGATGGGAGATCTTTCAGGTCCTGCTCGTTGTTGCAGGCAAAGCACTGCTAGCATGGAGTTTTCTTTGACAACACCTTCTGACCAAAATTATTAATTCTGATCTGTACTGAGCTGGGAGGATCCAAACCCACATCACGTTTGGAGCTTGCCTGGCTTCACACTTGATATTACAGCAGGAAAATGCCTGGCTTGTGGCTTTGTAGGAGTAACTGGGATTGGACTTACCCTCGGCCAATTTTAACGAATTCAGTGTATTTTGTCATAGGGTCCCCCTCGTTCACAATGCCCCCTGAAAGAAACGAAATGCAGGACGTTCACTTCAAACAGACACCACCTTCCAGCAGATCAGAAATGCAGCCCCACTGTCTGGCTGTGAACCCTTTGTGGGCAACAACAGAGGTAGCTCCAAAGCACAGATGGCTCCACTGATTTTCTGATTTTCTACAGTGCTTTGAAGAGTTACCTTGATGGGAAACAAAGCACCTGGAGAAATCCACAGAAATCGGAAAACACCAGGTACCAAGCAAGAGTTTGTTTTCTACAAATATTTATGAGAGCTGGAACAACACAGCCTTTATTTTCCTGGGAATAAACTTGTGATTCGACAAAAAGTTTAATATTTCTGAAAATTAAATACACCTTGGGTTCTGGGTTTCATTTTTAAAAAACAGTGCAGTGTTTCCAGGAGAGGAGAGGATCTTCCCAACTTTCAGCAGTTTGCCAAGAGATTGTCTTTATGATTTTAAAGAACAGCATCTCATGTTATAATCAATAATGATGGGGTTTTAGGATCCAGGACCCTCATCATGGATTACCAGGCTAAATTCTAATGATAACCTTGCCTGTGCCATTTGAAGACACTGCTTGTCTTCACTCTAACAGATTGCTGTGAAGTATTTTTGCTCTGATGATTTGTCAGGGGACTAAAGAGAATTTAGGAACCCAAACATCCTGCTTGATTTGGCCATCAGCACTCAGGAGTTCAGCAGTTCATTCACCAGGTCAAAGCACCTCCTGCTGAATCAGAAACCATCTCTGCTTTTGCCTTCAGCGCAGATGGAGGTGTAGAGAAACAGAATCCAGTCTGAGTTGCCCTTAGGAATTCCCAACAAGAATTCCTGCTTCCTCTGTCCCTTTGGTGGAGCTAAAGTTGGGACACACACACCAGACAAGAGGCACACCACACGTACTCAGTCGCTCCAGCAGTTCCTCTGTCAGCTGGGATTTCTTCTGCGGCCGGACTCTGGGGTCTTCCATTGTGCTCATGCTGCTGCTGAGGGTGCCAGGCAGGAGAAATGCGTCTTCTTCTGCACCTTCAGCTCCCAGCAGAGAGCTCATGTAGATCTGTGATGAGAAATTAGTTTATGCCAAGAAGGGAGCTTGCAGAGATCCCCTGAGCTCGTATTCCAAATGCAAAACCTCAGGAAGATGCTGTTGGCCACATCCAGTTCTCTTAAACTGTTTTTTACTGTCCACATCACAAACTGAATGAACAAAAACAAAAGGCTGGTTTTGCACAAGCTCATGGCCAGTTTCATGTTCAATTTTCATGGATTTTTCTCAAATAATTGGTACAGAGGGGCAGGTACATCCAGGAGACAGTTTGTCCAGTATCCTACAAGGGAAACCGATGACTAAAAGGGAAGTTCAAAACCAGTTTTCCAGGTGCCAGTGGCTGGGGTGAAGCACAATGTCATGGCAGGACTCCAGCCCTCAGCACCTCCCGAATGGCAGCTGCTGTCTGACCAGAAACTTGCAGCTCTGAATTGCACCAACGGTAACCAAAGCTGGCACTTACTGATTCTGCTGTAGGAACAGGTGCAGGTTTCTTATCCACCTCCTTCTCATTATCCTTCTCTCCAAGAAGGGAAGAAGCCAGCTGAGGTTCTGGTGGCAGTGGTGGGGCCTGGGGACAGTCAGTAACATGAGTGAGAGTCTCCATTCTGCCACCTGGGAGGTTTCATAGTTACACACAACTTTCACCTGCTTCAACACCAGAAACTGATCTGGACTCACACGTGGTCCTACAGCCTCAGTTCTCTGTTACACGTGTCACAGTACAATTTAAATATCTATAAATTATGGGGGGTTGAAACAGCCCCAGCTGCTGTTTCAGGGGCAGAGCATCACATCAAATTCCCCAAATTTGCTGTGTTTCCCAACTGCTTTAAAGCTGACACAAAGGCCAGTTAGGGAACTGAAGCAAATCAAAGGCACCATTCCACACCTTCACACCTTACTGGTGTTCTATTTAAAATGTTTAATATTAACCCTAATAAATTTGGCCAATATTAATGTGGATTCCTCTCTCTAGGATTGTTACTGCAACCCAACATTTATTAGCATGGATTATTATTTTAAACTTCCTTTCAATGGCTCCAGTGAGTTATATTATCAACTATAACCTTATTTATGTTCAGCTATATATACAGCTGTATTAAAGATAAATCATGAAACTGGATAGAAAGGGAATTCTAAGTTGTTAAAACTAAATTAAAATGGGGCAGTTATACAATATTGAAAATTGCTGTGAATTCAATATTCCACCATGGCTGAACCCACAATCTTTCCCTGAAAAAGCAGACTTTCTTCTATTTAAAGGCTTTGAACAGAAATTGAGGAAACAGCCAGGGATGCCTTTGCTGCTGCTGCAAAACCAGACATGGACATTTTTTCAGGCTGGAATGCTGTTGGAGCAGGCAAAGCTCACTCACAGCTTGCTCCACAGTTCTTAAACTCTAGGAATGTCAAAGGATCCTTTCCCACTCACCAAAGGATGGGCTGTCCTGTGTTCTTGATTACCTCTGGATAATTGGGTGATCTGATCTGCAGTGGACAAGAGAAAATTAATCAGATGCTGTTAGAAAACTGCCTCTTCTGGGGAATCCCACATGGAACAAGTCAGCCCAAATAAGAGAGCATTTTTCTTTCACATCATCCCTCCCGGAACAACAGCTGTTTTCCACAGTAAGCAACAGAACAGGACAAAATACCAACTCTTTTTTCTATATTTTTCTGCCTATTTTTTGTGCTTTGTGTTTTCCCAGTAAATAAATAAGAATTCAGTCAAGAAAGGATTCTGCTCTGCTCAAGAGCTAAAGCAGCTTTGCTATTTTTTTTTTCCTATTAATAAATTGTGTATGTTCGTTCTCTTTAGCTTGCTGAAAATGTTTTCTAGAAAAGCTTTACCAAAATCTCCCTTAGCCATGTGAATTCTATTCTGACACTGCACAGGAACATCTCCTGGGTTCAGGAGCACACACTGTTGGGAAGTAACATTTCCTTATGAAGGTCATCACTATTTTAGCACAGGTTGTCAGACAAATCCTTTAATCATGGGGGAAAAAGATGTTTTCCCTCAGTTCTGAAGATAATTGCACTCTTCTTAGAAGTACTTCTGAAAAGCTCTTCCAGTGCATTTTTTGAAGTTGGCTGAAGCAGCAAAGTGAGGGAACTACAGACTCCCCAGACTGTTCTGTGTAGGGAATGGAACCCCCCCAGGGTTCCCCACATTCCAAATGCTCTCCACATCAAGACACCCCGTTTAGCAGAAGCTGCTGACAGGAGCTCTACCAAACTAATGGCATCTTACTGGCATTTTTGTTCCAAAATCAGCTCAGTTCCTAAGGGAGAGCATAAAGAACACAGTGACCCAAAAGCCAGATATCCTGCACCTAGGGAAAAGCACTACTTACTCCCCAGATGAGCTGTCACCAGCCAGGGTTTATCTGGATGGAAATACATTGCAGATGTTCCAGACAGAAAATCACATGCTGCGACGCAGATTTGCCGGATCATTTTTGCAGAGCTGTGCTAGAACTTGCAGACAAGCATAACACAAGAGTCAGATAAAGCCCTTGCTGGTTTGCAGACAGACCTCTGAGAACTCCTGGAGGAGAAGGATCCTCCTGGAATGCCAGCAGAAGGGGGGCATTGAGGAGTTCTGGACTGCAGGAACGGTGGTGTCCTGTTGGCACTGCAGGGACTTGCCAATCTCTCAGCGACACCCCAAAAGCCCCTGATGTCACAGTGGCAGCAGCTGTACATTCCCACTCTGGAATCGTTCCAGGCTGATTCTTCACCAGCTGGATGTTCAATTTTGCTCAGTCTGGAGCCTGACATCCCTTTATGGTAGTAAGATATCAACCTTCCTCCTGATGCAAAGCTCTTATTTGTGCATGAAACTCACTTGGAAATCAACTCTGTGCTTCCATGGAGTGATGATTTAAGCCTTAACTCATTTTCCTGGTGATTCTTTGATTCCATAACAAAATTCTTCTCTATTGGCTGACAAACAGTGTCTTCAGGAGCTTTGAACTGGACTTTTGATGCTCAGTAACAAAAACATCATGCTGAAATGATCTCTGCTGTCTGACTAAAGGGTAAAGCCCAGCCTGATGGAATTAATTTTCAGCACACCAGGAAACACTGTGGGGGAAAGACTCTGTCTCTCACAATCCTAACAAGAGTTGCTAAGGATTCTCCTGGTCGAGCTCCTGTAGCTCTGCAGTCAACATACAGAAAACAGAGCTTGGAAAACTCCTGATGCCCCTGCAAAAACATATTCCCTCAGATGTGAGGGAACCCTGCAGGATCAGCTCCTTCAGTGGACATCCAGCTCTTCAATCCTTCTCCTCTCCAATTTCTGTGTGCACAGAAGATGTGCTCAGGCTCTGAATAGCTTTTCTCTCTGCAACAATGGAGTATCAGGGCCCTTTCAGAGCATAATTTCATCCATTTCTCTCCCTTCCACCCTCTCATGAATTACTAATTTGAAGTGACTTAATATCTATTCTCTATTCCCCTTCAGCTTTGCATATTTTAATTATGCCTCTTCCTAATCCTCATTTTCACGGAACAGACTTAAATAACCCAAATTACCCCATCAGTAACTGTCTTTGATAGCTCAGTTATTGCAGCTAATTTCCCACTTTTGCCAAACATGCTATTTTTGAGGTTTTTCTCTAACACCAAGTGATCACACACTCTGTTCCACTAGCTTTTACCTACAAACCAAAGTGATCTGCTGCGTGAAATGCCATCACCATCAAAATTAACTTTTTTTTTTTTTTCTCTTTTTTTAATTGCTGCTAAATCACTTCCTGAAAGATTTTAGTGACATTTTGCAGCAATGTCTTTGCAGCTTTATCTTGGACTGTCAATGGCAGGTGAGGACAGTGGGGTTGTTGGGAGAAATCCTGCTTGTCCCTGCTCAGCCTGAGGATTGCTCCAGTTCAAAACAGAATGATAAATATCCTTTGCAAAGTGATTTTTCTGTGAAACACTTTTGTCAAAATACAGTGTTTGCCAAGAGAGGAACATTCACACAGCTATTTTTGCAGTGAGGGGGCTTCTTTAGCCAAGACAATAAATAACTACTGGTCCTAGAGAGCTGCTGCCCACAGACTTTCAGGAGTGGCTGCAGCCATGTGCCTCTGTAGCATGAGAAAAAGAGCCCCAGGTAAATCAGAAAGCCCCTAAAAAGAAAACAAGCTCACACTCATAATTAGTAATGCAGATATTGGATATGACATATTATTTTAGGAGACAAGGAAAATGTGACCTTGGCATTTTTATTAAGCTTTTCCTCTGTCACTTTGAAGCAAACTCTCAAAGGGTGAAATTCCATTTATTTTCAGGAAATACAGATCCCAAAGGCATGGGATAGGCAGAGAGGGAGGGGCTGCAGGAGCAGACTGTGCCCCTGGAGCTGTGACAAAGGCAGACTGCCAGGCACTGGGCACAGTCTCTGCCTGTCTCATCAGGCTCCTTGTGTTTTCCCAGTTTGGAAGGAAGCTCCTTGCAATCCCATCCTTCTGTGCTCCAGGCAGGGCCCAGCCCCAACCCACTGTGTCCTCAGCAAGAGCAGGAGTAAGGAATGGCATTTGAGCACAAGGCATCAAGTAAAACCAAACTGTCCAGACAAGAAATGCCAGCAATGAAGGTGAAGCAGGATTTTGAGCGGCCCCAGGGCTGCTGGACTACACTTCAGTGTAAAATGTGCTACTGAGATCACCAAAACAAAGAGAGCAAAGCCCAGAAGTGCCATGAGTCTCTGAGGAGTGAGGAGCAGCACCTGGGGATTAACCACAGAAACCACCAGAATTACTCCAGGCCTGGGTTTCACTTTCCACCTGCTGAGACAGAGAGATTTATCCAGCTTCAAGCATGAAAGAGCACATCATGTTTGCAGTGTGCTCTGCTTCAACAGTGATCTTCTCATTCCCAGCAGTTTCCCTTCTCCACTGGCATCCATCTGTTAGAAAATACATTTGGAAAAAAAAAATTACTTAAATAATTAGCACTCAGGAACAATTCCTTGGCCAGAATTTCATTTGGTGTTATGTGAAGAACTCTTTATGTGCATGTTATCAAGAAATTTGCTCCTTTGGGCTTTCCCACTAGCACAGTGATCTGTATGAGGTGGCTTTACTCTGACCCGCTTGTGCAGCTGTCCAAGGTTTACTTTTACAATCTGCCACGCTCACACATCCCTCGCATCCGCATTTGGAACGAGTTCCTGCTGAGCTGAGATGGACGGACCGGGATATCCCAGGCAGTACAACCTCACTGGGATTCCAAATCCTAAAAGTACCACTCGACCACAGCTCGGAGTTGATTCCCACGAGCGCCAACTCGGGAGCTCCCCTCACGCTGCACACCCTGCTCCGGGCACAACCTGCAGTCCCCACCCTTACACACGGAGAATGGGAGCCCCAGGTCCTCCAGAGCCCGGCCCGCAGTCTGCAGGGAGAGCTGCCCACCGCGGAGCCTCCCCGCTGTCCCCACCGCCCTCACACAGCGGGGCCCCCGCTCCTCACCCGTGTCACCCCCGCAGCCCTCCCCTGCCTCCCCTCACGGCTCCCGCCCCCGCCCGTCCCCAGCGGCCGCCACAGCCGGAGCCCCCTCACCGGCTGCCGCCGTGTCGCTGCTGGGGTCGTCGCGCAGCTGCGTCCCGGTGAGGCGGCGGATGCCGGAGCTGCCCGCCTCCTCCAGGGCTGAGAAGGAGAGGGCGAGGTGCGCGGAGACTCTCAGCCCTACCGCTCCGGTCCCCGGCCCCCGCCCGGCCGCCATCTTGGCACAGCCCCCACCAGCCCCTCCATAACTGCGGGGCGTGGCCTCTGCCCGTCCCGGCAGCTCCCACCAATCGGCGGCGGGGGCGGAGTCTGGGGGTGGGGCCAGGCGGGAGCGGGGCGGGGCTGTGGGGCGCGGGCGCTGCCGGGCCGGGACTGAGGGACCTAAGGCGGGGAGAGCCCGGGAGCGGAGAAACTGGGACTGGGGGAAACTGGGACTGGGGAAACTGGGACGGGGGGAAACTGGGACTGGGGGAAACTGGGACTGGGGAAACTGGGACTGGGGAAACTGGGACTGGGGGAAACTGGGACTGGGGAAACTGGGACTGGGGAAACTGGGACTGGGGGGAGGCAGGGCTGGGGAAGACTTGGAATGTGGGGGAGACATCGGTCACTCCTTGGGCCCAAAGGTCACCTGCTCCAGTTGCTTCAGAGCATCGCTTGTCTGGAAAACAGGAGAAAAAACAAGCGAAGAATCTCCATGGCAGAACTGGAAGAACAGTTTTGTTCCCTTCCGTTTTCTCAAGAAGACAATTTTCAAGTGACACCATGCTGTTAATAGGACGTATTCACATTTAACAGTAAACCATAAACTCTTGGTGGTGGTGTACCACTAATGAGCTGTCCTGCTCCCAGTGAGGAGCTGGGAATGCTCCTGTGGTTCCCTTCATCAATTAAAGGCACAAAGATTCCCCTTGTCAGAAAGGGGGATTTTTCAGAAAGTCATGGGATTTTTGGCACTTGAGCAATTCTGGTGTAGGATGGAGATCCTCCATGCCCTCAGATACAAACGTGTGCGTGCAGATGCTAAACATTTCCTGGCATGTATTCCCATAGCTACCATGGCTTGGTCCTCAAGAAAGAGAAAACATTTACTTGCAGTTGAATCATGTAATTTTGGGTCCATTCCACTGAAAGTGAACAGTCGTATATATATTTTGTAATTACACAGTTAGAAACTGTGATATGAGGTTCTTTATTTTTGCTATTATTTAAAACAAAACGGAAACGACTGTGGAAAATAGAATTATAGAATCATTAAGGATGGAAAAGGCCTCGAGGATCACCAACCAACAGCACTGTCACCATGCTCACCACTAAGCCATGTCCTTAACTACCATATCCATGCTTTTTTTTAACAATTCCAGGAATGGAGATGTCACCACCTACCTCCTAGCCTGTTCCAGTGCTTGACAACCCTTCCCACAGAGAAGAGTGTGAGAGAATCCTGTTAAGTTTAAAGACAGAAAAAGGAAATAATTCCAAAATTATTGTTGTTATTCAAAACTCATTTTGTTTTTGATAGGAACATTAGTTTGCATAAATGGTTCTAATGAAGGCACCGATCCCATCCCAGCGATTGCAGTTTGATTTTTCCCTCGCTGCAGTTGTGAGAGTACAAGGCACTTAATGCAGTCCTAACTTGCCACCTCGTGGCATTTCTGTGAATGACCAGAGTTCCGTTTCTTTAAATCAGTTCAGGATTATGTTCATTTCCTTAGGAGAGGGTTCTTGTTTTCCCATTCACCCTCGCAGCCAGGGAAAACCAGCTGGGCACTGTTCTGCAGCCTGGAGTCGCAGAGAGGTCACAGTGGTTGAACCAGGCACTGTGTGGCTGCCAGGAGGTAAAACAGGGATACCAGACACAACAGCATCTATTGATTTTTAATTAATTATTTTCACTTAGTGACTGTGTAGAATATTCATTTGCTTTTAGAGCAATGCCTGTGTTTTCATGTTGGGATATGTTGGATTGCTTTATCTTTACAGCTAGCAGGAACATGGAATTGCAGAGAAGAAAAACCCCATAGGATCACCTACTGTTGTCCTTGTTCCTGCTTAGCATAAAAGTGCAAATTTAAATCTTCTTATTAAATATGTGTAGCTCAACAGACTTCTGCTTTTTCAGTAATATTTAATATTCCAATTGCTGTTACTGAGGTGGAGGGGGCTTCTGCTCTGTTTATATTCTTTAGTAACAATTAGAACTATGCTGCTTTCTTTCAACTGTTTATTAACATGTTTGGGTTTGGTTTTCTTTGTGAGAAAGCAGACAATATGCCAGCAGGAGTTTCTAAACAAGTTTTTTTTCACTTGAATATAGAGATAGAATTTTTATCAGATAATCTTTCACTAGCACAGAAAGTTAAGAGCCTGTAGAGCTTCCAGAGGGAATCATTGCTTAGAACAGCTTCTTTCCTGTGGAGGGGCCTAAATGCTGATTTATCAGTGCTGGAAGTAATCTGGATCTTCATTATTTTGTTTCTCATCTTCCTCCTCTCCTGTTTCCCCTCCAAAACAAAACACTGACTCTCACAAGCTTTGTTTGAAGAGATTAACACATTCAAACACAGTATTAATACCGGTGATAAGGAAATAATTAATTGCCTGTGTTTGTCTGCCTGCTAGGGTAAGACTGCCATGTAAATAAGTTGACCCAGCAGAACTCCAGTCAAACTGCTGGAAGCAGTGGACTAATCCCTGTTGGATTCACTGCTCTCCAGATGAGACCAGTAATTACACAGCTCATCACTGATTGCCTTTTCTCCTGCTGCTAATTGTTACTTCTTGGTTAGCTGAATACTTAATAGAGAGGAAGAACATCGTGTTGTATTGTATCCTTTTCAATTTTTTTTTTCTTGTAATTTCTGTTCTTTTCCAGTTTGGAAAAGAAAGAGCTGGCTACTGCAGTGAGAGTCCTTTTCTATTTTTTTTTTTTTTTTAATTGAATGAATTTAAACACAACTGTTAAGAATTTTGATTAATATTCCAGTCTTATGCTGCAGAAATAATACTGGGTTTTTTCTTTTTAAGATTAAAGGGAAAATTCCATGGATTTTCTGGCTATCAAGGAATTACAGAATCATAGAATATCCTGAGTTGGAAGGGACCCACAAGGAGCATCGATATCCAACTCCTGGCTGGCCTTAGAGTTTTCCTGTAACCACAGAATGGGACCACAAGAGGTCAACAGCGACCTATAATGACTGATACCCCTTCTTTCTATATATTAAATACATTGTAATAAAAACACCTAATCAGATTAGATTTTCTAGCTATTTTAGAGAAGATCTTCTATTGTTCATAGAAATAAACATAAGATTGTTAACAATCTCTTTTTCTAAAGACATTTGAAGGGTGATGATCTGGCGCTCATTAATTAATCTGTTTGCCTTCATACAGAAAGGAAGTTATCAAAAACTAAGTAAATTGTCTAGAAATGTATGTTTTCCAGAGATCATGATTGGTTTTGTTTGTATAATAATAAAATAGGCCTACATTCACTGTGTGAAATTTGTCACCATGGCTATTAATGTGCAAATTTATTTCTATATCTATATACATATAAAAAACCATTTCACTGAGATGTTAAAGTGGCACACTGACTTCCTTCTTAAAGCTTGTTGTGTAGGGTTAAGACTTACCAGCTGATCACTCTCTGACATCTTTTATTGTAGCTGTTTGAGTTGATAGAAAGGAAGCATCTACACATCCCCAGCATTTACTTTATTGGCACCTAAACTTCAGTCTGTGCAGCTGGAAAATGCATTTTTTTCCCCACAACTCCTTTTTTTATTATTCTATGTCTCATAATCACTTTCTCCTTTAACAATTAGATGAAGACCTCAGAATTAGCTGTTCTCCAGGATGAAGAGGCTGAATGAGGGTAACACTCCAAGCTTTTTCAAGCTTTTTAATGAACACCAGTTGCGTTTCTTTCTCATCCATAGAATCAGATAATGGTTTGGGAAGGGACATTAAAGCTCCTCCAGTTCCACCTTCCACTGTCCCAGGTTGCTCCAAGCCCCATCCGACCCAGCCTTGGACAATTCCAGGGATGGGGCAGCTACAGCTTCTCTGGAAAACATTATAATAGCAAAAACAAAACAAAAAACCATCTTGCAATACTTTCCACCTGAATGACACAAGTGTGGTATAATAATAATAATAATAATAATAATAATAATAATAATAATAATAATAATAATAACTGATGTAACAATGAATTGTTGTTGCATATTTACTCCTTTTGCATCCACAGGTAATTCAGCAAGTTCCCCTTAAGTTTTGAAAAGGAAAACATTTTCATGTATGTGCTTTCAGAAGCTTTTAAAACAGGGGATGCCTTGAATAGGGAGAGTTCAATTAAAAGAAGTAATTTCAGAATATAATTGATAATTTTTAAGTAAATGTGGCCTTGTAACAGAATGCAGATGGCAAACCCACTCTGCAGCCGACCCCGGGCTGTGATGGAGAAACAAGCGGGAGGTGCAATACATTCTATTAATTATTTTCACTGCTACAGTTGTTTGCTATATAATACAGGTCAACAGGGGTTAGCCTGAAGCTTCTCCTAATATATTAGTAAATAAATTTGAACAGATTTTAATTTGCTAATGGAAAGGTCTGAGCCAGTTGCAAATAAGAGTGGAGCTACTTTGTCTTGCTCATTGCTATGCAACATGGCTGCTGCCAGCCATTCATACAAAATGTTACATTTCCATAAAGCACAATGTAATCCGTCACAGAGAAAAGAGAAAAAAGCCCACAAAAAATAACAACAACAACAAAAACCCCAATTCTGTAAACTATATTAAAGATAAATGTGTATCATAGAGCAATCATCCTTATGGAGCCCGTAGAATGTTGAACACCTGCCCTTGCAGGCTTGCCAAAACATCCAGCATGGAATCTTTGTAATACTTACATGTTTCAGGGAGAAATAAAAATAAGTTATGCTATTCCCAAGGAGTATAAACAAGAGTGAGCCTTTTCCCACATCCCCTAATGATTTCTCACTCCTGTTCCAACTCACACAGTTTCCAGTGCTGCATGTCCACACAAATGTAAAACAGCACGAGATGCATCAGCTGCTTGTTTCTCACCTCTCTTTCTGCTCGTAATAGCAATCCCTAGGGTGGGCTTGTTTGTTTTTCCCTTTGTAAATATTTATAAACATTCTTGTTTTACAGATGCAGGAACAGAGGCATCCAGGTCTGTGTCTTGCCCAGATCTAG